ATATGTGTTTTGACAGGTGCCTGATGTAATTTTCGGGTCCCACGTTTTAAGCTGTAACTTTTGTTTTAAACAAGTTTTTGAAATAAATTTTGAACTTAGATGATGTGTAGTACCCTGCGCATAATGTGAATAAGTTTTTTGAATAAACCAACTCATATTGAGCATACAAGGTAAGTTTTTTTTAACAGCATGTGGGGTAAAACGGGAAATAACCGGGTGGGGTAAAATGGAATATTCCGTTTTATCCCTTAAGTAAAAATACTATAGTTACGTCAAAATCATATTTTTTTTTAAATAGAAGGCTTTATAAAAGCAAAAAATATCCATGCTTGTTTAGGGTAATTTAAGAATAAACTTAGAAGAATTGTTTTTGTTTTAGATGTCTAGAAATTACCAACGAAAGATTGAGCGTCAAAAATGGTCTGAAAAATCTATGACCAGCGCTCTGGAAGAATTAGAAAAAGAAACTTGTGGATTTCTAAAAGCATCCAAAAAATATGGTGTTCCGAAATCAACATTGGAAAGAAGATTCAAAGGAAGAAATAAATCCGCAACAGATCATTACCGTAGTTGCAAAGGCAAAGAAAAACAACATCAAACATCATTTCAACAAAAAAAACAAGGCTGGGTTGGAATGGCTTCGCGTTGTTTTAAAACGGAATAAACTTTCGCTCCGTTTGCCTGAAGCAACATCAGCTGCACGTGCTTAAGGTTTTAAAAAGGAAGCAGTTTCATCATTTTTTGATATTTTGGAGCCTCTTCAAGAAAAAATGAACTTTCTACCCTCCCATATTTTTAACGTTGACGAAATCGGGATTACAACAGTTCAAGGTCGTCCATCAAAAGTAGTTGCTGTCAAGGGTAGAAAACATCTGCAGGAGGGAGCTTTCTACTGCTGTAATCTGCATGAGTGCCAGTAGAATATTTGTTCCTCCTATGATCACAATTCCCAGAGTTCGTATGAAGCCGCAGTTCTCAGAGGGTGCACCGCCAGGAACTTTAGTGGTTACTGATAAATCTGGTTGAATGCAGCTTAACTTGTTTGAATAATGGTTTGACCATTTTCTTCATCACACTCAATCATCAAAAGAAAACCCATCTCTCTTAATCTTGGATGTCCTTAAAATCCATAAACAAAATATTACTATTATTGATAAAGACAATAATTTGCCTGCCTCCTCATACGAGCCATAGAATACAGCCGTTGGATGTTTCCGTAATGTATCCGTTAAGTACATTTTATTCGGAAGAAATAGAAGTGTGGCTGAGACATCATCCAGGGCGATGTGTAACTATCTCAGAGGTGCCTCACCTATTTGGAAAAGCTTAGCTACGAACATCTACTCCATTAAATGCCATTAATTATTTCCAAAAAAAAACAGGAATTTTCCCACTGAATCGTACTGTTTTTGCCAAAGAGATGTTCGCTGAAGCTTTGCCTACTGCTCATGAGGTAAATATTTAAGAAAACATATCCAGCCCCAAAAACAGTCAATCCAAAAATGACCAGCCTGCCGAAGAACAAGTTACTCCAGAAAATAATGAATCTTCTAAAGATTTGTTTATAAACATGCCCTTAACAAGCATTGGTTTAGGTCTATTTTCTCCGGAACAAGTTGTTGCCTATCCAAAAGCACCGCAAAAACGAATTAAGCAACAGGGTAAAAATAAAGGTAAAACTGTCATATTAACAAGCACCCCCTATAAAGAAGAATTGGAGACATTTTTACCAGAAAACCAAAAGGTAATGTTAAAAATGTTAACTCAAAGACCAAGATTAAGTCACTAAAGTGTCAGTAGTGCAGATGAGGAATGGTTCTATTGCAACAATAGATATTCTTCAGACAAAAAAGGATATAATGCTGGATATAATGCTGCAATTGTAAAAAATGGGGATATGAGGCTTGTGCAGGAGCTGACAGCGACGATGATGTATTTATTTGCGAATATTGTAGATATGATTAAGTTAGGAAAAATATTCGGCATTATTATTCCTATTATTTAAGCAAAATGTTCGGTATTATTATTCCTTTTAATATTAAAGCAAAATGTTCGGTATTATTATTCCTATTAATAATTAAGAAAAATAATTAAGTAAAAATGTATTATTATTCCTATTAATTTTAACTTTTTTTAGTTTTTGGGTTTTTGGGTTTAACCCATCGGTATTTCTTATTTAGTTAATTGCTCTTCTGCATTTATTTTGAATTTTTGAGTTTAAGTTGTTGTATTTTGCATAAAAATAAAAAAAATTAAACTTAAAAAAAAGAAAAAATTAAAAAAAGTAACATAGAAAAATCCTATCCCTTGTTACCCCCACGGTGTAACACCGTTTTACCCACACAGTGGGGGTAAAATGAGAAATTGTATTGGTATCAAATTTTTGCGTACAACTTTTTTATACATTTATAGAAAAAATCTTTTTTGTGCTTTTGATACAAAAATAATGAGTTTTCACTGTGCCAAAATATGAGAAGCCCCCAATACATAGTTTCGGTGTTATACAGCCTCAAACGTTAACTATCCCACTTTACCTTACCTTCCCCTACTTTATATAATATGACAACTACTGTTTAAATGCATGATCATGACTAAATCTGCACATGCAAATATCCAATTGACTATTGAAGAGACTGCAATTGAGAATGTTAATAACTATAAATATTTAGGAACATGGATAACATCAGATGTAGACCAAACCAAAGAAATTAAGACACGTATTGAAATAGCACGTACATCATTTATTAAACTTAAAAAGTTTCTTTGTTGTCGGGATATAAGGTTAGAACTACGCCTGAGAATGCTTCGATGTTACGTGTTCTCTACTCTTCTTTATGGTCTGGAAGCTTGGACACTCAAACAAGTTCATCTGAATAAGCTGGCCGCCTTTGAATTTTGGTGTTATAGAAGAATCCTACGAATATCATGGATTCAAAGAATGTCAAACATGGAAGTAACTAGAAGGATAGGAAATGAGGCGGAAATAATATTAACTATTAAAAGACGAAAACTTGAGTACTTGGGACATGTAATGAGAGGGCAAAAATACGCATTATTACAACTTATTATGCAGGACAAAATCCGAGGAAAGCGAAATGTGGGAAGACGAAGAATATCCTGGCTTAAGAACTTAAGGGAATGGTTTGAATGCAGTAGCGCAGAACTTTTTAGAGCGGCAGTCAACAGAGTCCGCATAGCCATGATGATTTCCAACCTTCGATAGAAGATGGAACTTAAAGAAGAAGAAGAACTGTTTTAAATTAGCTGAACATAATCGTTGAAATGCTTTTATCAGATTTTAAGAATGCCCGCCAAATGATTTTTCAACCACAATTACGTTATCCAAATAAACCAAACATGTTCTCTTTCCTCTTAAAACTGTCCTCCTTATCAAGTAGCAGCATAAAGCCTTTCTCTATCGAGAGTGTGTTTTCCTCTGAATCAGCTGATTCTATTTTTACATGCTAGTATTCAGTTTTTAGGTCGAGTGTAGGGAACCAACGTAACCCGGATACAGTATCCAATGTTTCCTATTTAGGGCAAGGAGTAACATCGCCTTTTATAACCACATTCATAAACAACACACTGAGATCTATTGTGCCCAAAACTAAACCAACAACATACAAGAAGATAAAAAAACTGCATCTATAAAATACTCTAAAAATGCAACAATTTATACGAGAAAAAGTGTCAGAATAAATGAGCATAAAACATACGTCAAGAATTGAGACTTCTCTGATATGCAAATATGATTGGACAAGGAGCACATAATACAATGTAAAGATTCATCAATAATCATGAAAGAAACAGACATGAAAAAGAGAGAAGTGAAAGAAGCACCCCTTCTTCTAGTTACTGAAGAAAAATGAGTACCAAACCCTTCAGCAAAATTTAGCAGAGTTTGATTGCCAATAATAAAAAATAAAGTCAACAACAAGAATATAGCAACAATAGCACAGTAGAGATAGTACAAACACTCCTGACCATGGAGCTGCGCGAAGGCAGAGTCAAAATTCACGTAAAGGTAGAAAGGTTCTATTGTAAGTGGAATTATACAGTGCACAGTACAATGCGTTTCGCATGGAAGTGGGGATTAAACCAAATTTCGTCTACTGCGCCGTGGTCAGGAGTGCTTGCACTATCTCTCATAGGAAGCCGAAAACCGTCATATACAATTCACATATAAGTAGTACACTAACTTATAACTAAATAAACACACAGATTTTTCAACCATAAGCATGCTGTTGTCTACAATATCCAGGCCAAAAAGTCAACTATCAATTTTGAAAAACATAACCTACAAACAATAACTTGTTGGCCATACATTTACCAGAATTTTTAAAATAATCTTTTTTGAAAACGATTAAACGTCAAACTTTATTTAGTTAAAAATATAATTGAACTTACAAGAAATTGTGGCTTAATCATAATATACATAAATATAACATTTAACTTAAATATGCCACAAGAATGCAGTTTGAGAAGTTGTGGCTGCGTGCGCAGGAGTTTAATTTCTTAAGAAAGGTTGTCCATTAGTAGTTGCAATTTGTTCAGCGTTCAAAAATCACAAAATAAAGGGACAACTATACTAAAAGTGTTCTGTTTTTTTTTTGTCGTTGAATTGAAAGGCTTAAAATAATTCTATGCATTCTTTAAATCTGTAGATTGGTTACACTTTTTAATATTGTTCTGAATCTATCTTCTTGTAAAAATAAAACGATGTTTAAATTAAAATTATGGTTAGTTGCCAATAAAAAAGATACTGGTTAAACTTCTTTAGTTTTCTTTTTATATATTCGAAAACTCTCAATCACAAAGTATCTGGCTGGCAAATATTGATAAATAATATTGTAAAATCCTCATAATGCACGATTTTTATTTTAAGATGCACATCCATCGGAGAATATATGATCATATTCTACTACGATAGAGAGTTGCAAGATATTTAGTTATAAATGCACTTAACTCTAACTTAAAATTAACCTGTTTGTTAATTTCAGGTTTCGACTTAGGAGCCCATATTGGCGGATTCCTTGGAAAGATAATGTATCTACACACATCCAAAAAGATAGGCCGAATTACTGCTTTAGATCCAACTGGCCCTAAGTTCGATCGTGCAAACGTTCCTATAAATTCAAGACTTGACAAATCTGATGCCAACTATGTTGAAGTACATCATTGCGATGTACAAGCACTGGGGGTTACTAAACCATACGGTCATGTTGATTATTATATTAATGGTGGATATAACCAACCTGGATGTTCTACTGATATAGTTGAAAACAGTAAGTTAAACAATACTATTATTCAACTTTAAGGGTATACAAGGCAACTATCGAACACGGTGATTAATTTAATCTTGCCCAAGTACTTTCGATCAATAGATCATCTTCAGGGGCATTTCGTCAATTGTGGCGATGATCTATTGATCGAAAGTACTTGGGCAAGATTAAATTAATCACCGTGTTCGATAGTTGCCGTGTATACCCTCAAAGTTTAATTATTCGAATATTCAACCTTATATTGAATACTATTATTAAAGCGACGCTTCTATATTGGCGTTGTATTCCTTTTTTCTCTATAGTAAAATGCTAAGGCGAGCGTCACAGAACTAGCGCTACGAGATGGCGTCACGGGTAGCGTCACGAAATGGCAGTTCTTCTTGACATCAACTTGGCAATTCTTCTGTCACTTCTTGACATCGATTCACTACTCTTGATCAATTCGTTTCTAGTCATCATATATTTATTCTAACTAAGTTTAAATTAAAAAATGCATGAAAGATAACTAACAAAATACAGACAATAAATAAAAAATTAAAAGAATATCTGTGAATCAAAGATGTAAAACAAATAGAAAAATAAAAGATTGATACTAGAATTCGATTCGCAACGATGAAATAATTTCATATAAATACAATGTCGGATTTTTACAGTGAGACAAAAGAGGCATTAGTAAAGCATTTGAAGTTGAATTTTCATATTTATGTAGTATCTATTTACGGAAGATATTTGGAAGAGTCCGTTTATGTAACGAGGGAGAGTCCATTATACAAAATATCGAAACTAACCATAATTTACTATTTTGATTTATAAAATGCTTTTACTCTTAATAAGATACTTTCAAACTATACTCAAATTGTATTTTTACACATCTTATTTAGTTTATATAATATTTAGATTACTATCAAACGATAATTATTGTAAAGAAACCGTCTATTTTATTTTTATTACTTTACTCCAGTATGGAGTATTAGGAAATCGTTTTCATGAAGAGATTTCTGTCTAAACAAATTGGCATGACGTAGATACAGTTATAAATCCCCATGAAAGTGAATTTATCGTCTGCTTGCTTTGCAAGGTTTAGAAGTTTAGAAAGTTCAGATTTAGCCTAAATCCTGAATTCTATTTCCGATTTATATTCCCTAAAAAAAAAAACATTAATTTTGTTGATTAGAACCAGAATATAGCGACTTTTTTAAATTTTAATTTATACAGTTTCTGAAATTGTAAAATTGCTTCGCTTTTAAACCCTTTATCTTTGGAGCATCAAGGAGAGCTGATTTTTAAAGAAATCGTTTTTAAATTTTTTTGTCTATACATAACCTTTTAATCCTTTGAATGGTTCTATTTGATTGCTTATATTTTATAAGCAAGCCCCTGTAAATTATAAAAAAGAGCTAACTAGGGTTTTAAAGGTCGTAGGATAACAGGTTTTTTTGAAATTCGTGTAAAAATGCCAAAATATCGAATCCAAACAAAAAATAACTTCCCACATGTTATTGCGTCTTATATATTTAACCTAAATTTTTAATTCGTTAAATGATTTAATTTGAAAAAATAAGATTTAAGTCGTAGTGTATCTTAAATGGCCAAATGGCGGTTAGATAAACGAAATTTTTTTTTCTGAAAAGGCGTAACCGAGAGTCGGTAAAATTGTAGATTCTTGTGGTATATTATTTCTCAAGATAAATAATTTGACACTTAAACTAAACGCTTAACAAAACATTAAATATTAATAATATTTCAAATTATTGTTTATCTTATTGATATAACCACGTTTAAAGACCCAAGACGTAAGCACCACCTTTCACTACGGATATTGTCGCTTACTGATTTCGGTGTCTTATCTTTTACGAAACTCGTTTGGCGGTTAGAAAATTCAAAGCTTGTTTTAGTTGAGTTGGAATTTTTTTACAGCTGCGTCTTTTTAATAGTAGATAGGACGTAAAATGTATTTTATTTTGATACCAAAACATAAATTTAGAAATTTTGGCGCTTATGCCTTTTTGTCGTGACGCCGTCCTTCTTGAAATTTTTAAAGCTGAATATCAACTTTTAAAGCTATTTTTAGTAAAATTGTGTCACTTTTCCATATAACTTAGCGGTCTTCACCTTTACTATTTAAAATGAAATAGCGAGCTTACATTGTTTATATATTGATTATAAGTAACAAAGTAAGTTATCTTTTGCATATTTTGTTTATTACATAGTGTTATCACCAAATGTATTAACGAATGACAGCTGTATTAACGAATGTCACGGGAAAATCCTTAGTTCTCTGGTCTAATAAAACTTTCTTGAGAACGCTTTTTCTTTAAATAAAACTAAAAATTAACTAGAATTCCCCTTACATTTTTTCATAAACTTGTTTATCATATTATTATTGTTTGTCATAAACAATGTTTCTGTGAAAAAAATATTTAGTACGTTTAATGACATTATTTTATATTTTTATTATTTTAACAAGAGAAATATAAGTATCAGTATAAAATACATATGAAAATTCGTTGTCTCGTTCACCGAGAATATCATATTTATTATATAACACGTTCTGTTAGACGGTGGTGAAATTGGTATAGTGATACCATCGTTCTAAAGACTCATTAATATTTAGCTTAGCGGGATGCTATTGTTCCGAGGTGTGAAACTCCATAAACAAGGGATCTACCTGTTTTATGGAATGATCCCTTGTTTTCGGAATTTCACACCTGGAACAAAAGCAACCAGCTGAGCTGAATATTAATGAGTCTCTTAGAAAGATAGTAGTACTATAACTGATATTTTTGGTCACTGATCACAGTTATCGAAGTTAGCAAGGAATGGTAGTTGCCGGTGATTTCTAAATCACCGATAAGAAATTACGTCCCGTTACTAGAGCACGTTGTCATATGTAGCCTAGACTTGGACGATTAGAGTGTTCATATCGAATTTGAATTCCATAAACTATTTTTTAAATGTTACCTATTATTTAAAATATATATTCATATATCTTTTAGGTGACTGTAGTCATTTGAGGTGTCCATACGTTTACGCAGAGTCACTAGACATCAATATATTGGTTAAAAAAGGCACGTTTGTAAGTGATGGCGTTTTGATTTATGTACGTCCAAATATTTTCAGTATACCAACTTTCTATGGAGGTTCTGCATGGGCTATTCCAAGGTTTCAAAATGGAATTTACTTTGTCAAAACGTCGCATAGAGCACCTTACCTAAGTTTTTTTAAATAATTTTTATAATGTATTTATTATTTATTTTGATACTTGATGTATTTGACAAAAATTAGCAGACTGAAATTTGACTGCGTTTAATATAGAGTGAAACTTACGTTAAAAAATAGTATTAAGCTAATGTAATTAATGTATAAGATAAAAATAAACGATTACTTGAATTTGTGTTCCTTTATTAATTGCAATATATTGTAATATACAGGGTGCTTCAGAGTAGATTTTAGTATTTAAACTTACCTTACGCCGACCCTGTTCGAAATTTCATGTAAACGATATGTCAGCCGTGTAGCAGACACGTGCGGATTTCAGTTACCATGGACAGTGGACGAAAACGCAGCGTGGTTGAGGCATATTGGGTGATGTACCAGCCGCGATGTTAGTGCACGCACGAGTAAAGAAATTTAGAGAAGAAGAATTCATGCACAAGCGCTAAATTTGTCTCGTGCTAGTATCCAGCGTAGTTTAAAGAATGATTTAAGTTTTCAGCTTTACAAAATTCAGTTAAGCCAATATTTGAAGGAAACTGATCACTTACTGAGGAAACCTTTTTTAAAGAGATGATGACTTGTTTTCGGAATGGTGGTGGCTTGGCGGGGATTATTTTCAGTGACGATGCTTTCACCTTAATGGATATTGTCAATTAGCAGAATGTTCGCTACTGGTGTTCTGACGGTTTGGTGTGGCATGTCTGCATCGGGGATCATCGGACCCTACTTTTTGAAGATGTTAGGGGACGCACGCTAACTCTCAACAGTGCACAATACACTGTCAGGTTGCAGAATTGACTACATCCAGAATTAAATAAATTTGCAGGGTATAATCCAGGCAATACATGGTTCCAGCAAGATGGTGCTACGCGACACACAGCAAGCACTTCAATAAACTCCCTAACAGAAATGTTTCCAGGCACACTGACTTCAAAAATTGGTGATATTGGTTTTCCCCCAAGATCTCCTGATCTTACCCCTTAAGATTTTTTCTTTGAGGGTATTTAAATAACATCGTTTACGCTAATCTATCAGCCACAATCGAAGAGCTGAAGCAAAATATTCGCGACGCTATTAAAAACATTCCAGTGAATATGTGTGTACGCGTCTTTCTCAATTTGCGATTTAGATTGCAAGAGTGCTACGAGCGAGATGGTCAACATCCAACCGACGTGTTATTTAAGAAATAAAATCCGCATGTTCTGTGTGTCTATTTTCGTAATAAATGTTTCTCTAACAGTTTCTGAAACAGAGTTTTATTTATTTAAAAACTAAAAATCACTCTGGAGACACCCTTTATATGTAATAGCACATAGACTTATTATTAGTTAAGGTATTATGAGTAGAAGGCCTTGTAGTAGACATCATGAATCAGTTCGCCACTGTTAAATGTTAAGTATGCTTGCCATATTTTTTAACATTTCTGTCCACTGGTTGGTGATAGATTTCTGTTCATTCTTGACCTGTGCTTGGTAGTGTGTACATCGCTTCGCATACTATGAGGTTTTTTCTACTAACGTACTCCCAATTTGTCATGTCTGGGTAATTTGAGCTTTAGCTTAATTTATTGAACAAATCTTTTCATTTTTTATAGATTTAATTTGATAAATTTTTTACTTCTTTTTTATATATATGTATATATACATACATATATATATATATATATATATATATATATATATATATATATATATATATATATATATATATATATATATAGTATATATCTCTGAGGGTAAAATTTGCATTGCAATCCGGCTTTTCGGATTATGAATAACGAACAGAGGGATAGGAATATAAATAATGTTAGATATATGTAACGTCCATAGTCCTTCCCAAAGTGATAAAACTCATAGACAAAAAATTATCAATGTTCACTCTGAAAAAGACAATGGTCCCTTTTTTGTATACTTACCTAAATCGACAAACATACCTAAGGCCAAAGTACCAAAGTAGGTTCTTAATGGGATTAAAATTGCTCTTCTCGTGATATATTTAATTTAAATTAAAGAGATATGAGAAAAGTATATAGTACCTAAAGGTTTAAATAAGATTGCGATGAATTTATTAATTTCAAATCAGCCAACGAATTTTTAAATATTAAAATTCTATTAGACAAGGGATATTAGATCTATATTCCTTTCAATTTTGTAACCTCCAACATAGATTTAGAAATTGATGATAAGGAATTATTAGAATATTGTAGTACGAATACTGATATTGATATATTAAATGTTAAAATACTTAATAGAAAAGTATACTTTACTGTATGCCAATAGTAGTTAATGTTTATATTGCACCAGTTACGCAGGTTTTTCATGGTCTGAGGTTCGGTCACATGAAAACAAATTATAAAAGTAAATATCGCTGCATTAAATGCGGCGAACTGGCGCATTGCGAAGTATGTGAAGTCAAATGCTTCTTCTGTAAGGGACCATAAAGCCACAGACAAGAATTGCCTAAAATTCCTTGGACAAAAAAATATCAAAGACTTACTGGCATTCGAAAACATGACATTCTGCAATGCAAATAAAGCCATTCCAAAAACATACATAGAAAAAGATAAATTTGTTATGTATGCAAGTGACTTCCCAACTTTTAGGAACAGAAAGTTCAATATCAACCCTAACATTAATGCTAGCTGTAACGACTTTACCAGGCCCTTTCAAAGAAAAACCCAACCCTTTAAATCCCCCACTACGACGCGTTCATTTCAACAGGTGGTTTCTAATTCAAACAACAAAAGAAGAGTAATTTAAAAAGAATACGACAACAAAGCGCATAAAGAAAACCTTTTTTCCCTAATTCACGACCTGAAAAATTGTCATACTAACAAAACTGACAGTGCATTGCAACATATTCAAAATTCTGATTCAGATCCTTTATATATAATACCAGAAACGCTTGTTTAGATTTTCTCTATAATGCAACAATCGATAATTTAAATATTTTTAAAAATATATTATCCCACACAAACTTGGACTATATGGACATAGCCAAAAAGCGCTACAACGACTAATAGATAGAATAAACACTGAAGGAGAACGACTGGGCTTGAAGATTAATATAGACAAGACGAAGGTAATGGTGGTTAGTAGAACACGAAATATGCAATTAAATATAAGAGTTAACAATAAAAACATCCAAAAGGTCCCCAAGTTCAGATATCTCGGTAGTTGGATAACTGAAGATTCAGATCCAGACATAGAGATACGTAGCAGGATTGAGCAAGCCAGAACAGCATTTACTAATATGAGAACCTTGCTAAGCAATAGCAGCCTTAACTTAACGCTTCGATATCGCTTTGTAAAATGTTACATTTACTCCATACTGCTTTATGGTGTAGAAACTTGGAGGCCTTTGAAATGTGGGTATTTAGAAGACTACTTAAAATTCCCTGGACAGATCACACAACAAATGTCGAAGTATTAAATCGAATAGGCAGAGAACGAGAATTTCTGCCAATAATAAAAAGAAGAAAAACTGCTTATCTGGGTGATATATTTCGAAATTCCAAGTACCAATTCTTAAAGCTTATTATGGAAAGGAAGATAGAAGGAAAACGGGGCATTGGAAGAAAGAAATACTCATGGCTTAAACACATAAGGGATTGGAAAAACCTCGATGCCCATGGACTCTTTAGAGCCACACATTATCGAAAGGAGTATGCCAGAATTGTCGCCAACGTCCACTAATTGGATAGGGCACCATAAAAAGAATATATGGACCAAGATTCAATTTCAGACTTTGACTCTTTATAACCTCCTATACACCACAATGTCTCACAATCCAAAACTCAAAATATTACAATGGAATATCAGAAGTTGAATGCAAATAGGGACAACCTGATTAGTCTAAGATCCTAAATAGATCCAGATATAATTGTTCTTAATGAAATATGGCATAAACATAATGCCAGAGTTTCTTTAAATTTTTATAATATCATTCGACAAGACAGGGATGACGGATTTAGTAAGGTGGCAACGCAACATGTGTTAAGATATGCATAAGGTTTTCAACAATCAAAAAATGCAGTTCAGCTTTAGTGCAATACATAATAATTAGTATCAGTAACCTATACCTTATAAATATCTATTCTAGTTCTAATAATGCCGTTACTATATACCACTTTACTAAATAAAATAGTAGAAGGTATACCCTTAAATAATCTAATCATTATGGGGGATTTGAATTCACACTACCCGGCTTGGGATGAAGGGGTATGCAATAAAGGCGGTGAAATTATTTTTGATTTTTTCTTTGATGATAATGATTCTACAGTGTTAAATGATAGCTCCGAATCCTTATTTTAAGACTCTAATAAGAACATCAGTGGAATAGATCTGGCAAATGTGACCAAAAGTACATTAAATTAAATACAGTGAATCGTAATGGAATAGAAAGGAACTTACATAAGCCATACAATACAAGAAACGCTAAAAAAGTTGACTGGAATACACATAACAAGAACATATTATTAAAATAACCAAAACCTGCAGAAATCCAAAACTACAACGATTTCCTTACAATCATAACCACAGCGGCAGATCAAGTAATCCCTTTTAAAAATTGTCGAGTACAGGTTAAACCAGAAATTCGTGGTGGGACGAAAAGTGTTCCTTATGGACCAAAACTCGTAAAGAAGTAATCTCTAATTTTAATAAGCCCCCTCTAGAAAATTTCATCGAAACAAAACGCATAATCGCTATGACTAGGAGGAACTTAAAAGCAAAAAAAAAATACAAATATTTAAAAAATTTTGTGAATCTCTAAACAGAGTATCCAATGTCACTTACGTTTGAAATAAAATTTAAAAATTCTCAAATTATCACAATAATAAAGTCTTTCATATTCCCTTAAATAACATTAAATTAGAAATATTAGACAAAATGTCTTCAGTACACACCGACAATAATTTTAATATGTCGGATGTACGGCCGGCGCTACAGGTCGAAGCTTGTCGGATCATGAAAAGTATCTA